TTGAAAGCGGTCGCTTGAACTAAATCATATAAACATATAAAATCGTTTCCTTTATTATCTGAGCCAAAGCCGTACTAAAAGTTTGGCAATCCCGACTTTGAGTTTTGAACACTACATTTTTTTGTTTCTTTTGTGGGACATTGAATTTTAACTTAGTGATGGCTACTAATGAGAATATTGCCTGGCCAAAGTAGGAAGTATTAAGATTTCGCTCTGGTGGCAGGGGTGAGGGCAAGCTGAAATTATAAAGCTGAGGAACATTCGAACTCCCGGTCACCGTTGATAGCTAGCTATGACTGGCGAGGAACATTTAACTGATAAGTGAAGACGTAAATAAAAAAGCCGCTGCTTACTCATGAAATGCTTGATTGTTCTATGCCTATAGAGTACGGCGAACTTGCTAAAAAGAAAGTATTAAACTTAGGAAAGCGTGTTGGCCTAGTGGCTTCAGCGTGCGACTCTCATACCTGAGGTCGTAGGTTCGATTCCGGGCTGTACACCAATGGACTTTCTTTCTATGTGTGCATTTATTTTGTATTTAACATTTGCTCGAACGGTGAAGGAAAAGATCGTGAGGAAACCGACATGTCTTAGACCCAAAAAGTTGATGGCGTGTGTCAGGCACTGGAGGCTGGTCACCTAATTGCCTTATTATAGATTATTTGATTTAAAAATGATCATGAAACAGATTCAGAAATTTGAGGCCAATACCTAAGGAGGTTGTAGCGCCACTGATTCAAACTTAGGAAACTTAAAAAAAATCGTAAAATTGTCTAATTGCAAGAGACTTCGGTGATAAATCAACCACCTTAATTCGGGTAACGCTAACTTTTTAACTATATTCATAATTATGGTCATCCTGACATTGGGACGTCTAGGAAAATTAAGGCTCTGGCCAAATTCTAAATACCAGCGAGCTAAAGTAAATTTCCATATTACTTAAGATAATTATTTACCTAACAGAGTCTTTAAATTGTTTTTAATTAATGAAATCGCTTAGTCCAGTCAAAATAGGCATTTGACTTAGCCAAAATTCGCATAGAGCTGAAAATTGGCAGAGACGTTAAATACATCATTATAAATGAAATGTCAAAAATCCCCTTCGATCCTACTTCTGCAAAAAAAATTATTCAAGGTCTAAAGTATAAAATTAAGGTTTTTTCCATTTTTCTCGAAAACAAGTCAAAGTCAAAGTATAACCCTGATGAAATAATTGTCAATATGCCTTTTTTATTTAATATCTTTTTATAGAACAGGGAGCAAGCGGGCAGAAAGCTCACCTGATTTTAAGTGATATCGCCGCCCATGGACACTCAATGCCAGAGGGCGAGTGACGCTCAGTTGTTTAACGACGGACGAGGTGATACGGATAGTAATTTTTAAAATGCCTTGACGTCCAAAAATCTACATCCTGTATCTTATTCATAATATCCATTAGATTAGTACTGACGAGTCCTTGCGTAATGTATGGTGTTTATGGTTGTTTATTGGGTGTATTGAACATAATATTAAGTTATACGATATAAATTTTTCTCAAATCATAACTTTTTGTTTACTTCGGACCCCACTGTGAAAAAAAAAATACTCTAGCGACTTGGCGCATTTAATTGGGATTCTGAAAAGGTATTACACATGGCCATGTATGGCTCTAATTTTATTCTAGGAGGAAAAAACAAGACAAGAAACACCTGGTGATATCAGTGTGGTCGATAATTCCTCTGCTGACAGTAGTGACATTGCTATACCGCAGATTGGATGAATTTATAAACCACCAGTACGATTTAGAGAGTAAGCCAAAATTATTCAGTCTATATAATATGTTATATATCATCAAATATTTTTGCTTGTTTTACATTTTACACCTTAAAGAAAATTTGCAAGTGCAACAAAAAATTTTTTTTACGATTTATGAGAAAAGTTTTTGTTTCCGTCGTGTGCACATAGTAAATAGATAAATGTATGCAAAACCATGTATGGCGGAATTGTTTTTCTTTGATGATTTAAAATAGTCCACATCTCATTATAACCTTTATGCTAAAAAGATTTGTTCCCAGATAGTGTAATCTTTGATAAAGTCTAATAAACTATGCGAATTATTACACAAAATGACTTTAGCCATAATTTCAATTAATACCTTAGGAAATAAATAACTCAGGAACAAAATAATGATCAAGTATGATGCGTATTTATACTCTTCGGGTATGAAATAAAACCATGCAAAACCGCGAAAAAAATTTCATTTTAGTATTAGTATAACGAAATGGCATTTTTCACCGCCGTAAAAATGACTCAACAAAGTGATGAATCGAATGCCGTCTAGATTTTTAAATGGAAAGTATAATTAAATTTCGTGTGCATCCATCAATTACTATACATCGTCAAAACATTGAAAAAGTTTTTCACACTTTGCCGGCTTATATTTGTTTCAGGGTAGTTATTAGTATAGACATTTAGATTAGCAAACATCTTGAACAAATGTCTGCACAGAAGCGATTTTTAGGGTGCGTCAACCCTAAAAACCGCAGGAGCGGCGCACGAACAAAATTGACCGTGCGCAGCTCGCGAGCAGTTTGCACATTCGCGGCATATTCGCCAGATGTGGACGCACCCTTAGGTATCACCGTGACGTGTCGTTTGCGTGATTGATAAATCAGTTGACGTTTGTGTCCCAGATGCGCAAACTTTCCCCCACTCCCTTGTTTAATGCTCAAGAAGTTTGCCGGTATCTGTAAAAGCATTGGCTCTGTTTATTTTTTGTAATTTTTATTGGTAAAAGCTTGCCAACGCTCGACACACTGATACAATGGTAAAATAAGCACAATTATATACAATTTTTAATGTGACAAGCACTTAATTAATAGGCAAACATGACATACGAATAGTAAACAAAACAATTACCAAACAAAATAATTAAAATTACAAAAAAAACAATTACTAATAAATTTTTTTAAAAAAAACTAAACAAAAATCGATTTTAAAATGTGAAAGGAGCAAATATGGTTATCCAGACCTAGCTCGTTTATCAGAATGCTCACTCTGGACATCGGTGAGCTTTGACCAAAACGCGTTCTTCGGAAAGGAATGATGGGATGCCTGGGGTTTCTCGAGGGTAAACGAAATTTTAATTTTAATAAAAAGTTGGGGCAATCAACCTGATCGTTAGCAAAAAGGTTAGTCGACATCACAGGAGACCGAAGAGCTGGCAGCTAACTCGGACAAAGATTTAGTTAGCTTTAGCTTTTCAAAGAGGGAACGCTGCCAGTATCTTCGGAACCTTGCGGAAAAGGGACTCGTTTATTTATATGTTTTAAGGTTATTATTATTATTATGTATCTTAACACACTGGCAGCTTTTAATAAGCTAATGCGCGTGTATTTTGTGATTTGGAGAAACTATCCAATCTATTTTTAAAGGTGTTTAAAGATGGTGCACTGACTACACTTTCCGGAAGCCTATTCCAGTCTGCCACTACTCGGTTTGGGAGAAAGTTCTTTAGGGAATTTGTGTTATGTTGAGTAGTTTTAAGTTTTAAAGAACTACCCCTCAAATGTGTATTTTCACTTAAAATAAAGAGCTTCTCAATTCCTGAAACATTATAGTGGCCAGTGAGGATTTTATAGGTTACAATGAGATTTCCTCGTAATCTCCTACTTCCTAAATCAGTTAGGTCAAGTGCTTTCAGACGCTCATTATAAGAATTCTTCCTGAATGACCTGATCATTTTCGTGGCTTTTCTTTGAACCCTTTCAAGCATACTAATATCCTTTATGCAATAAGGATCCCAAATGCTGTAGGCATACTCTAATAGTGGTCTAATGTAACATTTATAGTGTTCTATATATAACAATCTTTAAGAGTGTTATTGGTGAAAGGCATTTGAATGATTTTCTCACTAAATAGAGCATGGAATTAGCCTTTTCACAATATTAATGATGTGACTTGACTGTTTTTTTTGTTATTAGTTAATTGATTTAAATATAGAGAATCAATAACACTATTGTTTATGTAAATAAAGACCTGATTGTTAAATAGCTTAAATGCAAACGGTACATAAATTAATTTTCTACGATTCTACAATGACAACATCTTAAAGTGCGCAAGCCTGGATTCGTATCTAGGCAACTTTCAAGATGCCACTGGAGAAAAGCATTAATATTTTTTGTAATCTCTCAAGTCGAACTTCACTAAAACTCTTCATAAGTGTTCATTTCAGAAACTAATTCTCACAAAACAAGATAAGGAATATACTCAAGTTAATAGGAATGAAATAAATGGCCGACTGACATGAATGTTTTTTTAATTAAAAGTAATGTGATTGCAAGGGGAAATTAACAAAAAAAAAACAAATATGTTATCTAATCATACACTAGATATCGATAGCACATAAACTATGGAGTCTGGTTTCTAATATTGTAGTTGACATAATATTTCTATCTTATCATCCGGCTGATTAATAATAATTAATAATCCAGTCCAGACAAAATCCAGATAAATCGCTACAACCGTTGGCTTAAGTTTAGCCTGTGTCTAGTGTTGAGTTTTATATAAGGCACGCCGGTCATTTGCACGCTGTCGTCACCCTGAAAGGTTTTTTGTTTTTCACATCTGGGATTCTTACCATGCTTGTTAAAAAAAATAGCCTATTTTATTTACAAAGCAGTGTTGGCCTTCAGTCTACGACTCTCATGTTTAAGGTCGATCACCTGCTGTGCACCAATGCATTTTCTGTCTATGTCTATGTCTATGTGTCTATCTATATGCACGTCTAACACTCGCTCGTACGGTGAAGTAAAACATCGTGAGGAAATCGGCATGTCTCAACACAAATCACCAACTTGTCGATGAAATAAAAATGAAAAAACAAATCTGAGGGCATAACTCATAAACACATTACTTTTATTATTATTTTATTCAGATTTTCTAAATGTCGATTATCGAATTTATAGCGCATTTAACCAATTATAGTCAAAATATAATGAGAATCATGTATTGTTTCAGAAATGTGGAGCTACATAGTAGCCGCGGCACAAATAGACCCGAACACCGGGTCCTTTCGTACGATCTGCGAATCGCATCGTCCATATATACAACGATCTCGTCTGCACGCCGCTATGCAAGTACGCCGTGCCAGGTTGAATGCACGGCCCGCCAGGTTACGTCATCCACCGCCCGCTCGGCCGCTTAGTCCGGTCGTCAGATTGTCTCGTCCGACTGTCAGACAACCTCGTCCGCGTCAGGACTCCCCAATGCCAAGAAGTGGACCAGTTTTCAGGTACCTTGAGGATAGATAAAAGTAGATATTTATTTAGATTAGGTCAAAACTCACCAAAGTTATCGCATTCATTTTTGCTTTTTAAAGCCCGAAGTAGAAGGCTAACAATTCGATGTATATGTCGCAGCCAACTAGCATAATTAGCCGTTAAATTAACAGCCTAGCCTTTTAACTAAGCGGTGCCGTTTAACTAGCGGCCTGGAAGATATTCTGCCGTAGCGTTGGTTACAACATTTAATAAACTGCCTGGCTAATGCTTAGACCATTCGTACGATAGAGTCATTATTTGTCAGAAATAAATTACTTCTAAAAGATGAAACATGTGACATAAAAAAGATATCTATTAAAATTAAATTGCTTGAGTCAAATTCACATTATTATTGTCACTACACTCTTTCATTGTACTTGTTGTTTTTCATGAAGCTTAGGAAAACCCCATCAAAGTTGTGTTTTGCCGACGCCAGTTTCGTTTTGAGTTTCGAGAGTGGCTGAAAGTGAAATTAAATTTAAACTAACAATAAACAGGCTAGTAATGAAACGTCATCGATTCAAGTCATTGGCCTAACTGTTTGATCAACTGGCTGAACATCTTTCAGACCGCTAGTTAAACGACTAGGCACACACATCTACATTGCATAACGTCTGTCCAAGATCGAGGTATATAAAACCATAGAATAAGAACTTCTATTCAATTGCGATTCGGCTACTTAATTTATGAATATTATATAGAATCAAATGATAGTGTTAATCACGGAAACTTTTAGTACGAATTAAGAAACTGCATGTTTGTCGAATTTTATAACTTATGTAGAGTTTTGTACCACGCGAATCAGTAGTGGCGACATCTATCGATGTAGGGTGTAGAGTACTCCATCGTATTTGCATACGAGTACAAACATGTATGGATCTTGTTTTAAATTTAACTAAATTATTAATTTTGACAAACAAAATCGGTTTCTTTTATCACATATACTCGTATACATATATTACTTCAGTTAAAAGAGTGCAATTCGACCGATTTACTTTTTTATGAATAAAATAATATTTTTGTAGAATTGTATTGGTTCGAATTCAAATTTCGTTAGATAGTTCTTTTTTCGAGAACGCTAGGCTCTAGGCTATATAACATTACAGTACGACATTTTCCTTTGAATAATTGTAATGTAGAGGGAGGGTAAAACTTGCCGAGTTTCTTGCCCGTTCTTCTCAGAACAAGGCCTCCTGGTAGTTTTGCGAACGGAGGGCGTAGTCTTGCTCTTTCGCGAATTTTGTAAACGTTTTTGCCCTAAGACGCATCTAAATTGAATAAACGTATTTTGATCGATTGATTTAACTAGCTAATATATACAATTTGGGTTGATATGGACTTTTCAAACAGATACCCCAGTACATCGAGACAGCAATTGATGTCCCGCCGGGAGCCCCGGATTCTGGAAATTCCTGACAGCTCAGCCAGCCTGACCCGGCCACCTATCCGACAGGTGACCGGTAGTTATCCCACACTGGAGGTAACAATACATTTTCAATATTAAATTACAATATCACAGTTTACGGTTGCTAGAGTCCTGTGATCACCAAATTAATAATGGTATCTGCGCATACATAAATTCTACAACAATGAAATTAAATAGTTAAACCATTATGCTCCTTTAAACTTATAACTACAGTTTTAGGGTTGAAGGGTAGTTAAACTGACAAAGAAAGGATATGGGATATGCTGTATGGCGACTTCTTATTAAACAAATTTTTCATTCTACGAATAAGTTGCGTAAAGCAGATAATAATGGCACCCTTGAACTTGCGAAATGTTGCCTTGTGTAACGCAAAGCAAAACAGACATTTACAGCTTTTACGCTTGAATGAGTGTGAATTGAACTTGTACCAAATATATAAGATTCATAATCGCGATTCACTTTCTAAAGATATTTAATAACTAACTAATTACGTTAGTAAACATTAAAAGCCGAAAGCTTTCGTGGCTTGCTACGGTCTTCCTTTTTTTTTTACCACACAATTAGGACATACACATGATATAAATTGACATACATACAAATTATAAAAAGCGGTGCCGTCCCTGAAACATGTGGACACGACCAGGCAGGCTTCGTAGGCTTGATCACATTTCTGCCTAATACTAAATAGACTCTCTGTCTATGTTTTAGCCTTAAAAGTATCTTATCTACAACATTTTTATTAAACCCTCTTTAAAAAATAGACGATGCGACAGGTATAAACTGATAAGAGAAAATCTGAACATGATAATTTAAAAACTTGCTTATATAAATTTATTAAATTAATGTTAATAGCGATTGCACTGATTATTGATTCCGACCGGATGCCCCTCTGCCGAAACACATTTTAATGTTAGTGATTGGGATATGGACTTCCTATTACGACTGCTGTCCGCACGAGATATACAGAGACGTCTACGATCTTACCTAGGTATACCTAACGTGACCAGACGTTCCGTTTAGAACGGGACTGTCCCCTTTTCCAATTACGAGTCCCGGTATCCTCAAAATGAACTGTGGGACGCAAAATTGTCCCGTTTTCAGAAACCGTGCGAAAATTTAAGCAGCAGAATATAAAAAAAAAACATGCCAAGAGTTTCAATCTTAAGGACCTATCTGGTGGCCAAACTCATAAAAAGTACATTGTTTCTTTCCATTTTTCGTCATCGTTTCTTGAAGTAGGGCGTATAGAAAAAATATAGGGTGGAATTGAGATTTTTATGTATCCATTTTGAAAGATCGATTTAAATAACTTTTCTTGATAGAACAATCCAAACATAGCCAATTTTTGACACTTTGAATTCATTTTATGACGAAAATGTATATAGAACATGATTTTAAAATTTACACGATACATGTTATCGCAAGCCAAATATTCCATTTCAGAAAAAAAAAATTTACATTACTATAATGTTTCTATTGTTTTAATTGTTATTACGGGCCGGCGCACCTCAGTGCTCCAGCTCTCCGCAGTCCGCCCCAAGACACTGACACAGCAATTCGTGCTGGGATAGGGCCTTAATCTAGAGCCTATAGGTTTAGTTTAAAACAATCATTGTGTTGCTTACGTAAATTATAATGAAAATTGTTATAAATTTCAAATTCTGGATATTTGGTTAGACACTCTGAGTAAAACATTATTATTATGAATATCTCAACCCTATTATGACTTTGTAGATTATGTAAATGAATCTTATGCTTATGGGTGATTTTGTACCTAGTTAGTGTTAATATTATTTACCATTAGATGTTAATTACCAATAAGTTCGTTCTCAACCAACTAAAAATCACCACCGACTGTCGACTATCATGTACAAACGGGTGCTTAGCTACTTTGTATTGCAAGGAGAGAATCAAATAGTCTCAACAAATTGGTAATGGTAGAGAGGAATGATGGCAGGAGAAGTCGGAGTTGATCACGGATCACCTACTCGTTGGTCTGACCAGGTCTCACGTAACAATTAATTAGGGTCTCAACATCCCTAATGCGCTGAGACAAGCTAAGGATAGAGTGGCGTGAAGGCCGATGTATCGCTTAGGGCTTTTCAAGACAAGCACGCATGACCAAGCACGACCTTCAGTAATGAAGTTTACAAAGAACAAGAAGTGTTAGAATGTGAAAAGTGATAAGAATACAATAAAATAAATAAATAAAATAAAAAAATCATTTAATCACATAGGTAACATAATGTACACTTATGACTTGTCAGGAAAGAAATACATATGAATGCTTCTTATTTTACATTTACTGCCAGTTCTCAAATCAAGGGCGTAGAACGGGAGAGAAGAACTGGCAATAAACTTTCCGCCACTCTTTTTAATCGCCTTTTTTTTTGTAATGATGCAATCGTACTCCATGCTAAGGGATCAAGATGCTTAAAGATAACTAAATTATTTGACTGACGGTAAGATATAAGTACTTAGCACTTAGTCTAGACTTGGAATTTACGACGAGATCAGAGTTAGGTGTCAAATTTCATTTTTGTTACCCGTTTTGCACTTTCCATTCCAACAAACAATATTTTCCGTTGACTGATTGGGTTCAGTGAAGTTTATATAAATATGCGAATAGTTTGTCTTAAACTTCCATTTTGACAACATATTAGAATATGTCAACGGTCCCTACGTACAAAGCGTTTCACAAAGGTTTTCAGGAGAGCGTAATGAATGTTTGAATCACTGTAGAAATTTATCCATTCACTTTTTGATATTATTTTTTCTGAATTGATTTATAAGATATTTGAAGTATATAATTCTATTAACCATTTGTATATTTATACATATTTTCATTGAAAACTCGATAGATGACTGTTTGTACATTATAAATTTTATAAAAGCCAGTCGATTAACCGTTTATACGTATGAGATATCATATAAATAATATCAACTAGTTTTTCTTTAAATTTATTTTAAAACGTGTACTTATGTTACTATAATGAAAGGTACGACTTGAATATTCTAAGATGTTTACCCTTTAAGGTAAAAAATATACTTCTTTAGACTTATCTCTTTATATGTGGTTTTTTTTTATTAGATTACGACTGCTTTAGGGGAATGTAAATAACGACATGTACTGAATTAAAAAAAGAATCAGCGTGATTTTTATTAATAAAATATAATTTTTAACTTAATAGTTTTAACGTTTAGTTTTCAATTATCTTCTTTTTTAAACAGACACAATTAAATAGGAACGTAAAATAGAAAATAAAGGTGCATTTAATGCTTCATAATAAACTATTCTAATATTTTATTTATGTGAAGATATAACTAATCTAATTATCATTACGGCTTCATTCAGACTGATTAGTATTGTTATTTAATTTATAAACTATTTATTATAATTTTTTCAACATAAAAATCTAAAATAAAATGAATTAGTTTCTAAGTTATCTAATTAATCATCTTCGTCATCACCCTGGACTTCCTTAGTAAGATTAAGGTTTTTATAAAATTCATGACACTTTTGTGGAATTATCATTATCACACAAAGTAATCAAGTCCTTGTACTTTGCTTCAGTTATCGCAATTGGCTGATTGTATAACTTCTATCGTATGATCTCTTGCTCTTTCTTTTTTCTTGCTCTTGTGTATTTCAAATTGTTGTCAGAGATCAGTTGTCTATAGCTATCTTAAAAAAAAAAAAATAATTTCTAAAACGTCTGGACAGCTCCCTTGAATTTTAACTTCTCTTGTTTCCATTCCAAATAATTTTCTCAGAGTTCGTATATTTTAGCAAGTATTTAGTATGTAGCCATTCTTTGAAAACTGAAATTAAATCTTGATCCACTTCTACGACTGTATAGGGTGGGACATTCTGTTTAGCCCAACGATGCAGAGTAGGTATACCATTCATCAGGTACATAAATGATTTAGTTTTTTACTGATCTTGCTATAAGCGCATGAACACTATTTGCCTCGTTGAGTATGTCCCTTTTCAAAGAATCTATGGCACAAGTCTATATTAATTTTTTTGCTTATAAACAAGTAAGTACATAAATACATTAAGATTGCGATTTCGCCTGCGTAGTTGTTTGACGAGAATCTTAAATCTTTAACACCGGCTTCAACCTTTTTTTTACAATAGAAAACAAACAACTTGCCACTTCATTAGCGCCGCGTTTAGCAATTGCTTCGTCCCAAATGTAACAAACAGCTTCTTTTATTCCAGCACCAAAAATTGTAAAACTATATCCGTATATAATTTTGGTTAGAACTCTGATGTTAGCATGTGAGGTGTTATTAGTTTTCTGAAAATCAAACATTGCTGTACAAATTTTGATGGATTCGATTGAGCTTTGATTATATCAACGTTTTCCATCTCCCTGACTAGTTTTTTGTTGTCGAAATGTTCTCATATTTTAATTTCTCACTATCCAATGGTAGTGTTTTTCATTGATTGACATAAGTCACACTGATCCTTTTTCGGTACGTGAAAACGAATGTTTAACTGTTATGTTGATTGACGATAATATAGCTTTAATTTTGGTGGTATATACAATTCGAACACAGGCTATGATAAAACTGGCATAAAAAAACGTAAAAACGTTTAATTTTCTAGAATTCTGGGTCTATTGTATTTTTTAAAAGCTTCATATGACTCGCAATAAAAGACCACTGATGAGAATGACCCCTAGATTCCTTAATAAATTATATAAGTTTTAACGTGCTAGCATACTGAAACGATTCAGAAACGAATAAAGTAGTATTTTTAAAGTTAGCAATATTCACTAGTAACTTTTATCTATTGTAACTCATGTTTCACAGTAATATAGTCATATTATTAATGCAAAATAACTATTAAACACACCACTTAACTGTCTTGTATTAGTTAGTTTACTAGGGAAACCCCCCCGTAAATGACGTTAAGTTCGACATGACTCCCGCTCGCGTCGATTGGCGCGCTTTTAAAATCGTAGTACGAGGGTATATGTATAGTTGTACGTATACCATCAATTCTTTGAAACCAATCTACTTGTTCTCTTATACGATGAGTTTATCTAGTAAACCACACAATATTAAAA